TGGGAGACGGGTGTCAGCGAGAGAGAAGAAATGAAGGGGCATGACTTTTATGGGACAAACACATTAACTATAATTAGTAAAACTGACCTCTGATATATAACTGGATCAAGATTGCAACAACAAAAAAAAAAAAAGTCCACACAAAAAAATGGATGTGCTAAGACAAGCTGGACATCATGGAAGACGTAGTTTGGCACGCCAAAAATACACAAACTTTGGGTTTTTCTAAACACACTGTCTAAATTGGTGTTATGTTCAAACCATTCCACTCATTAGTCCCAAATCACTCAAAACACAAGCTCCGAGATAAATTCAGCACTTCATAAATCCCATTCTGGACATGGTCAGCTCCTGTCCTTATCAGACAGCTCCTGGCTGGTAGCTGCAGCTCGATAACGGCCCGTTCTGTTTACTGACACTCACAGGAACCAACGCTCACATTAAAGTGGCCCCTGGATTTACTGGGTAAAGTCCATAGCTGATGTATGGGGGAGGGTGGGCGTTTGGCTATCATGAGGAGGAATGTAAATTGTCAAAGGCGACTTAAAGCATTTGTTCTGAACCATTTCCTGTTCTGCTGAGACTTTGAACGTTTGATCATTTGTTCTCCTCCTTCCAAGAAGATTCTGTCAAGAGACACTTGATTCGATAAATCCATCAAAACCCTGACTAAAGCAGAACGAGACCTTGAACAAGGATTACCAAACTTCTTGGTTTTCTGATCCACAAAATAAAAAGACAAACTTGTGAGCCCAACATTTTTTTAGTTAAAGTACTCAAACATTGCAAATAGGCTAATTAAATGAAGTCATATTGACTACACTAGAATATATGCATGTACCTCTTACAACACCTTTTAATCGCAGTTGTAGCAAAACAAGCTAATTATTAATCTTTTTCATCTGAAAATCATCTCAAGAGCTGAAACTTGGTGTTTTGAAACTCATAGTTGGGCCCCAACCATAATTTTGGGAACAGTTGCTCTTGAAAATCACAAGCCACAAGATGGTCATAGTGAAAAAATATATAAAAAAAAAAAACACTATTAAAATTTAATTATTCTCATGTAAATATTTGGTAATTTCTAAAAGGTTATATAGAACAGAGCATCATCTACAAAGATGACCAGTTACCGTTTTAACTCAAACAACATCCAGGTATGGTGAACATGAACTCATAAACCGTTATAGAAATAATGTTTTAGGTCTTTGTAGAAGAGACTGAACACACCTGAGATTAGTTTTCTGCCGTGCAGTGGAAGCTTCAAGGTCCAGCTTTACCTTTTTTTGTGTATTGTGGACAGCAGGGCAGCTTCTCCTCTCTGACACACACAAAACAAACACAACCTTTCAAAAGAGAGTTTTTGTCAGACAAGCGGGAGTTTGACCAAAGATCTTCTTGTCCTGTAATTCTGAAACGGTTTGTTTAGAGCCATTTAGTTAATGTGGGAGACAAAATATATGAGTTTATCAAGTTTTGTTTTTACCATTTATGGCCTCTTATATTTGTTGAACTGGCAGTCCCGAGTTAAAAATGTCCCCATGTTTCCAGGTTGTAGGAACCGGAGCCATCTCATTAAGAAATTCCCAGCATAAAGTGTTTATAAACAGGCTCTTGGTCATCTCTGGTGATGGATGGATGCCTCCTATCGCTGGCTCTTCCTGCGGACTCCTCAACCCGCTTAACAATCTTTCTGCCACTGTTTCACAACCACACACACACCGACGCACGCTCTGCTGTTTGGAGTCGACTTCCTCGGTGGGTGGGCCCTCGCTGTTGTCTGCGTTGTGTTTGAGGGAGAAATGTGCGCGTGTGGGTGAAATAAAGAGGTCAGGGATTCTGCTAATGAAGAGAGACGACGCGGCTTACGAGGCCTCCCATGAGCGGGTCAACAGCGAAGGCCAGGGGTCAGAGGTCAACATGAAGTCCAAGATCAGCCCTTGACTGATAGAAGGGAGGGGGCAAGGAGTCAAAGTAAATTAATTACAAAAACAATATAAAAGCAAAACAAGAAGGAAAAAAAACAACAGCAATAAGAAAAAATGTGGAATAAATCATTTTTTATTCTGTCATTTTGTTACCGTACACTTAACCAGATGGTTATTATTATTTTTTTACATTTCTTTACATATAAAATCAACTTTTCCATGAAAATGTGCAAAATTTGATTTAAAAATATGGCAATTAAACAAAAAAAAATGAATCCGTATAAAAGAGATTTATCTTCATTTAAACTGGCCATTTATAAGAAAAAAAAAAAAACGACACAAGTACAAATAAAAAGTTTACATTACAAAAACGAACGCTTTTCTTTTGGAACTTGGTGTGCTTGACAAATAAAGTGTCTAAAAACAAACGCATCACTGCATTTATACATTTCAAACTCTATAAAACACATTTCAGGTTACTGGAGGCATTTAGAAACATCACAGACAGTTTGACCAACCGAGGTGTTGGCGAAGGTTTTAAAACTTTAAAGCACAATTTTCATTGAAAAAAAAAAAAAAAAACCTCTTTGAGGTACAATCGGCACCAACGCAAATTTAATAATATTCAGACTTGGTCCAAAGTTTACACACAATCCTAATAAAACCCCAAAACTAAAAAAAAAATCCCCACTACAAATCATCAGAATCAGAGAACAATTGTAAACATTAAAAAGAACAAAACCTTCATAAATAAATCTAACAGAGTCAGGTCTCCTGGATGGATGTAAAAAGTAAAAATAAATTGTTGAAACATTTCAAATTTTATCCAAAAGACATTGTCAGTCTGAGGAGCTGCAATAAACTCAGTCTTATAAATTGCCCTTTCTCATAGTGCAGAGGTGGGCAACGTTTTTTTTTCCAAAGGGCCACATCAAGACATTTAAAGCAAGCCAACGGCTGCATAAAGAATTTATTTATTTTTATTTTTTATGACAGATAATCTAGAAGACCTTTTTCAGCCTTTTTCTTATTGTAGCATAGTTAGCATGCTTAATAAAACATGTCTTTCTAATATCCTTTAGGAACATAAGACGTACAGTTTTCTGTAAACTGGCTCTTGTGACAATATATTATAGATGTTAGCTTAGCCCGTAATACATATTAGCTTAACATGTTATACACACACTAGCTTAACATGTAACACATGTTAGTTTAACATGTAATACACGTTAGTTTAACATGTAATACACGTTAGATTAACATGTAATACACGTCAGCTTAACATGTAATACAAGTTAGTTTAACATGTAATACACGTTAGATTAACATGTAATAAACGTTAGATTAACATGTAATAAGTAAGATTAACATGTAATACACGTCCGTTTAACATGTAATACATGTCAGCTGAACATGTAATACATGTCAGCTTAACATGTAATACACGTCAGTTTAACATGTAATACACGTTAGTGTAGTGAACTAAGCCGAAGGTCAAAACCTTGACCTTAGGACCATAT